ATATTAAAGACTTTTTTGAGAAGGAATACTTAATTGATTAGTGGTTTTGGTTAGAAAAATGCTAGATAAATTGTTTTAAATTGCCAAGAGCACAGAATAAAAACTGTGAATGTGAGAGTATTCATTTCCAGTCAGTAATAGACTGGACTTGCTACACTCATAATTTAATATTTTGCTAATAAAGAGATAGAGAAATTGTGGTTATTATAAACTTACATGGAATGTTACAAAGTTCTGCATAGAGGAGAAGGAAGCAAGAATTGGGAAGCCTGGATTCGAGGTTTGGTAATAACTCACTTTGTCACTTTGGGCAAGAACGTTAACTCTGGGCCTTAATTTTCTCATATGAAAAATGACCTTGGACTAAGTTTTCTGCCTGCTTAAAAACTTCTATGATTCTAACTGTGTGACTATGAAATGAATGATGGTATAATTTGTCTTGATGGGGTGGTGGGCCGGTCAGATCCATTCCCCCAAATGAACGAATCCAGTATATGGCTTCATCAGTTTAACTGCGAGACAAACACAGATGCACCTGCTATTTGACAAATGACCAGAGAAAGTTAAGGTTCACATGGACCGCAGGTTAGTCAGGGCCACGTGCTTTCCAAAGGGAGTCCCATGAGGACTGTTTTTAATGAATGATTCCTGGCCTCATTTTAAATAAGGAACTTTTCAGGAATGTGTTGAGGGACAGCAGCAGAAATCTATCACCCAGATTTTCGTCTCTGCTCTGCCACTGACAATAGTTGGTGACCACCGGGTCTCTCTGCAGCTCTCTTCAGGTCTGCAAACACGGGAGCATGATTCCACAACCAGTGCTGTGCCTGGTTTCTAAGGGGGGCTTTCTTAGGACCCAGGATGTTACATTGATTCTCTTATCCCTTTGGAAACTTTTGACATTTAGATTAAAAGGATTTTGGCCAAAAATTCAATCAAACTGATGACTGCTTTGAATTTTCTGATGGATTTTGACTCTAAATATGGAACAGAAGAGGTCCCAAACTAGGTTTTTATCATTTCTCTCCTGGTTTGTAAGAGCCCACCACCCAGAGTTCGTATCAGAACCTTCCTTCCACTGCTGCTGTCGAATTCGCTTTAGCTACACATCTGAAAGTTCTCCATTGCTCTGAGAATCCCAACCCAAAATATACTGGTTTAATTTATTTCATTTCCATGTGCTTTTCGATAATATGTGTGCTTTTAATAAAGCTAGTAAGAGATGAGGAGTTACATTTCACTTAAAATCTACTTAATGTTTTCATCTATGTGGATGTTATATTTAGGATGCATCACAGGTGGCTGCTTTAATGGCTCTTACTGCTTCTTAAAAATTAATAGATTAGAAATATAAGCCAAAATTATTTTAAGGTATAATCTCAGTGCCCCAGAAGTGTTTCTCAAAGACATTAACAGCTATTTATGTAGTTAATTTGGTAGTGACTCATTAAGAAATACATTTCTGTTCTCAGGTCATTCTGAAGGCACCAATTTTAATCTCAGCACTTAACCTTCAGACACATTTTCCTCTCTCATTTATAATAATAACTGTATAATAAAGTCTGCAATCTTGGGAGGAAAGCCAAGCAACATGAGAATGAAATGCTATCGCCCCACTTTTAAATCTTCCCAAGTCAGGCCCAAGGTTAGCCTGGGAAGGGAGAACTGTCTCAAGGGGCAGGTGTCACTTCTTATCTGTGTTTTAAGTATGTGTTCCTTACTTTTAATTAGGTTTTTGTTGTTGTTGTTTGAGTATTGTTTTCATTCATGTCTAAGGACGATATTGCTGACAAGATCACTTCCTAATTCAGGGATATACAGATATAGAGATTAAATTTCATTAATATTAACCTTCAGGGTGTTTTCAAATCCTTTCACATAGTACAAAAATATTATTGTGTAGTGAATGTCATTCAAGATAGGTTAGGCTACCTAGAAATAATTTTTTAATTAATTAATTTTTTATTGAAGCATAGTTAATTTACAGTGTTGTGTTAGTTTCAGGTGTACAGCAAAGTGATTCAGTTATACATATATATGTATTCTTTTTCAGATTTTTTTCTCACATAGGTTATTACAGAATACTAAGTAGAGTTCCCTGTGCTATACAGTAGGTCCTTGTTGTTTATCTATTTTATATATAGTAGCGTGTATATGTTACTCCGAAATTCCTAATTTATCCCTCCCTCCCACCTTCCCCTTTGGTAACCATAAATTCATTTTCTATGTCTGTGAGTCTGTTTCTGTTTTGTAAATAAGTTCATTTGTATCATTTTTTTTAGATTCCACATGTAAGTGATATCATATATTTGTGTTTCAAAATAATTTAAAAGAAACGTTCTTTAGAGTATTTACATCAGCTGTTCCTGCCAGTGATAGACTCCAGGCACAGCCATTTAAAAAATGCGTATGGATAAAATCTAAAGGTGCTGACTTACATAACCGAGCCTCAGGAAAGACCCTTAACTTTGTTGGGCCTTCTCTTCATAAGCTGGGGATAAAATGATCTGTCTTATAGGAATCTTAATGAGGATTGTAAAGCCCTCAGCAGAGCGTCTGGCACATAGCAAGTGCCTAATAAATTGTAAATATTATTAATATTACTTATTTACTACTTTAATTTTTGAATTAAATTAGTAACTTAATTAAATTAATAATGAATTAAATTATTTTTTAAATATTTACTATAACTTTTCTCTTTTAAAGGAAGTTTTCTGGGGTGCCCATCTTTCCTATTTCTTATGATTAACTGGTACCTTATGTTCCTGCTTAGACTTTGGTAAAATTATGAATTTGGCAGAGTTAGACTCCCCTTCCAGCACTTCTTATTCCCCCCACCCCCATGGCATCCACCCCAGCAGTTCTCGTCCAGCACCCCCTAGAGCCCCCATTTCTGAAAGCTTTGGATATGGCAGCTTTCACCACAGTCCCTCTGAAGGTGTGGCAGATGTTGGCTTAAGAGGCTCAGTGAAGGCAGCTCAAAATAGATGAAAAGAATGGGGCTGGGACTTCTGAGATCTTGGTTGAGCGTCTTTGGCTAAATTAGCTCACTTCTTTTCGACCCCAGATCCACCATCTGTGGATTGTTGGGAAGATTGACTTAAAAGCGCAAGGACTTTTGGAGAAGGGTATGCAGACAGTAGTTATCATGAAGCCTCATCTTTCAAACTCAGTTCAAGCTGCTTCCTCCATAAAACTGTTGCTGACAGAATGCTGCTCCAGCCCCCCTCTCACCCTAGATAGAACTGATCATACGCCTTCTTGAGCTCCCACTGTACATGCCCCTATCATAGCAACTGTTTGTTTGCATTTCTGCCTTAGACATGCATTAGACAGTTTTTGTTTTAAATTTCCAAAATGTTGTGATTTTCACACTCTCATAAAACACACAGAAGCAACAGTGAATCATGTTTCAAATTGGTATAGCTGATTTGTATACTATCGCTGTCATATTCTACCATGTTTCCAGTAATCTCAAATCATTCCTTTTTCCTCTGATATGTTAAAACATTGAGGAGATAAAATAATTTCAGTGCTGGGCATATTGTGATGTGGAAGGAAGGGGTCACATCTCCTCAGGGACCTCTCAGAGGCTACAAGACCCTGTTGTATTTAGCTCTGAATATCCTGTATCTAGTATCTGATACATAGCAGGGGCATAACAACAGCTGAGTAAATAATTGAAAGAATATTCTTTAATAGGGACTCAGGAGGACCCCAAACCTTCAAGATCTAAATGAATCTCTATCAGCAAAGATTCAGATTTCATAATAGGAGCTGAGGAAGCTATTCAGGATCTCTCAGCATTCCACAAGACACACTATATAGTGCTTGGCCACTCCAGGATTGTGTGCTTTTCCACACAATAAAGTGTTTTTTTTTTTTTTTCATTGCAATCATTGGCTTCCTATATAGATAAGAACACTAAAAAGCATCCCTGTCATCATGTATCCATGATAGCAAGTCTTCTTTTAAAAATCTACCAAGAGGGGCTTCCCTGGTGGCGCAGTGGTTGAGAGTCCGCCTGCTGATGCAGGGGACACGGGTTCGTGCCCCGGTCCGGGAAGATCCCACGTGCCGCGGAGCCATGGCCGCTGAGCCTGCGCGTCCGGAGCCTGTGCTCCGCAATGGGAGAGGCCACAACAGTGAGAGGCCCATGTACCGAAAAAAAAAAAAAGAAAAAGAAAAATATATATATATACCAAGATAGCAAAAAAATTTTGTTGTAGCATTCTTTCTGTATTTAGATAAACATAATTTAACTGTAACGAACTTTGGTTTGTTATGACTTGTGTTATCATGAATTTATCCTACATAAGAACTCAAATGAACCAAGCTCTTCCTGTGTTTGTTGTTTTGTTCTCCCCAAAAGGAAAAAAAAGGTTGAAAAGCACAGCATTACAGAATAAGCTCTTTGATCAAAATGTCTGTGTTTGACTAATTTTGTAACCCAGGGCCCAGCATGATGCCTCCCACACAGTAGGGGCTCAATAAATTTCTTGAATGAATTAACGGTGCAACCCAGTAGGTTAATGCATCCCGGGGACCATTATTCTGAAGAGGGAAAAAATGTAGGCATTTTGGAGTTGCTTTGGCATCACATTTCAAAAAAGTGAATTTCCTTCTTAGGAAAGACTTACTTTAGGTAGAAACTGAGTCGCGCCATGCTCACTGTCCACCGTTCCCACTGTCCAGAACCAGTAGATACAAGGGTCCCTTTCATAACCCACCATCTCAATATCATGCCTTACATTTTTCTGCCTAGGTAGTTCTGGTAAAATTGTTATCACAAGTTATTACCCTTAAGTCTAACCTCTTCTGAAAGAATAGATGTCATTCAGGGACTAAGAAATATTTGTCTAGACGTTTGATCCAATCTGTATTTTTATTTAATGTGTAATTGGCAAGAAAATAGCAAAGACAAATTTAAATGCTTGCATCTCTAACCTTGTCACAGTGTCTGAGTATTCATTCATCATCATTATCTTGGATTCCTACAGCCAGCAGACTTCATAGGAAAGCAAGCACTGAAACAGATTAAAGCCAAGGGGCTGAAACGGAGACTGGTCTGCCTCACCTTGGCAACGGACGATGTTGATCCGGAGGGAAATGAAAGCATCTGGTATGGTGGCAAGGTGAGTGCTGAGGACCCATAGCGAGGGGCCACTGCAGTGTTTCTGCAGCAGAAACTCCCTGTCTCTCCGTTTACAGTTTTTTGCTAGTTATTTATCTATTGGTGAGATGACACTCTTTTGAATTCTGAAGTGACATTCAAGAAACAGAAATTACTTAACTGAAAGGAAAATGAAATGCTGCTCATTTTGGAAAACATGATATTCTATATGGTTTAATGAAAGAAAATAAACTGCAGGACTTGAAATACATTGGACAATGAGGAAGGTATGATTTAGAAGGTAAAATGACCTCTTGGCTCACCACATCTATATCTGTGAATGCAAGAGAGAGATTTTATAAAGAATTTAGTATTCTGACTTAGCTCCTCAGGGATCTTTCAGGAGGAAACAATTCGTACCTTAGCACATTAGCAGAAAACAATTTCCAAATGAAAACATCTATGATGAGAGAGGGTTAAACCTTAGTAAATAAAGGGAAAAGTGGAAATCCTTTGGTTCTTCAGGAGGAGTAAGACTACCTTCTTCTCCCTTTGGGATGCTACATTTCACTGTCTCTCTTGGTCTTCAGTAAAGCCAGAGTTAGATAACCTATCAATAGAATTTCACTTCCTCCACTTTTTATGACTATTTGTAAAACCCAATTTGGCTCAATGTTTTGCTGTGTTTTGGCTGGTGTTATCAGGCAGGGCTTATCAGGCAGGGACACTCAGCTTAGATTAGACCATGTGGCGACCACAGGGCCTTCAAGACTCATCTAAACATTTGCTCTGTATTGAGCAGGTTCTGCTTGGTCAACACCCAAATACTCGGAGATTCTATTCCCAGGTTGTTTTTTTTTTCCTTACGCACTACAACCTACTTAATACTTGTTTTCATTTTCCCCATCTCTTCAGTGACAAAACGAGCACTGGAGGAGGGGAGAGCCAGTGGCGTCAATCCCAGCCTTTGGATTACTAAAGATAGGGCCATTTGGGCTGAGGCAGGGGTCAGTTTGACATGGAAATATCATCTACAGAGTTCCTACTAGTGCTGGATATTTTTATGTACTCTCATTTACTTTTTAAAAAATATTTATTTATTTAATTTATTTTTTTGTTTGCATTGGGTCTTAGCTGCAACATGCGGGCTCTTCATTGTGGCACGCGAGATCTTTCATTGCGGCGCTCAGGCTTCTTTCTAGTGTGGTGCGCAGGCTCCAGGGCGCATGTGCTCTGTAGTTGTGGCACGTGGGTGCCAGGGCCCGTGGACTCTGTAGTTTGTGGCACGTGGCCTCTCTCCTTGAGGCGCATGAGCTCAGTAGTTGTGGTGCACGGGCTTAGTTGCCCCATGGCATGTGGCATCTTAGTTCCCTGAACAGGGATTGAACCCACGTCCCCTGCATTGGAAGGCAGATTCTTTACTACTGGACCACCAGGGAAGTCCCTCTCTCATTTACTTTTACAACACCCCTCCGAGATATGTATGATCATTCCCATTTAAAGATGAGGCTTTGGGACTCAGAGAGATTAAGTAACTTGCTTGAGGTTACACAGCTATGACATGTGATTGACGAAGCTGATTTCTGACTGAGGTACAGTTGGACTTTGAATTCTTATCCTTTCTTCTAAGACATGCTGAATACCCCCATTTGCTCTCTTCTTTGTCTCTGATGGCCCACTGTATTCTCCTAAGCACTTCATTATATACCCACAGTTCTTGCACATCTAAGTAACAGGTAGATGTTATAGTTTTAGATTCTATGAAGCCAATAGATCTTTTCTCAGATTTGAAGCTCTTTCTCAAATGCCTCACCTTTAATTGTGTTGCTGCTCTTCTGTTTGAACCATTCCTACTCTTACCTCCTGGTCTCCACTTTCTGTTTCTGTTCTAGATCTCTGGTTCAGCCCTCTTTTCTTTTCTTTTTTTTTTTTTTTTTTTTTTTTTTGTTTGGGGGCCTCTTTCTTTTTTGCCTCTCTCTTTTTGGAGCCCACGGTCCCGACGCACAGGCTCAGTGGCCATGGCTCACGGGCCTAGCCGCTCCACGGCACGTGGGATCTTCCCGGACCAGGGCACGAACCCGTGTCCCCTGCATCGGCAGGCGGACTCTCAACCACCGCGCCACCAGGGAAGCCCCAGCCCTCTTTTCTTAATATGTTCTTTCTCTGATTTAAGATTTGCCCACGATTTCCACTGATAACCACGTCTGCCATTAAGTAACTGCTTGAGCCTCTCTGGGTCTCAGTGTTCTCACCTACAAAATGAAGCCACTGAGTGAGATAATGTCTAAGGTTCTTTCCACCTCTAATTAATTTTTCCCTGGTCGTTACACTTCCCTCACCTCATCTTTTTATTCTACATTTTTCACTCTATTCTCATCCAACTATCTCAGTCTTCCTAATACGGTCTGCACTCATACTTCTACTGATAGTCTGTTTTACTTGGCCATGGAATGAACGAGAAGCTCTGTCATAACATTCTGTATGCAACCCCACATCGACCATGATCAACTGACAGATTTTTAGTCATCTTAAATGTGACCATACCCAAGTTAAAAAACTGGAAACCTGTACCTTAAACTTATACAATGTTATATGTCAATTGTATCTCAACAAAGCTGGAAAAAAAGAAGAACCCTGGAAACCCAAGCTCCATTTATTTTTATTGAAGTATAATTGCTTTACAATGTTGTGTTAGTTTCTGCTATACAATGAAGTGAATCAGCTATATGTATACATATATCCCCTCCAAGTTCCATTTTTAAATTTTATTCCCTTTGCCTCATTTGTGCACTGTGTTTACACATTATATTTTTCATCTTTCCTATACATGCCACCTGTTTATAGAGCTGCTAATGCAATTGTAATTTTAGTTATTAGTAATATTTCTCTTAAATTTCCTGATATCAGCTTGTCTGCTCTTGGATGCTTAGTAGGGTCATCATTTTATCATGCAGATGACCCTCTTAGATCTTCCTTATCTCTAGAATGATATGAATTTTTAAAAAATTTTTATTTCCTGAATTTGGACTTGTTCTACCTTTTATATTTGGTATTCTATTCATGCAGATATTTTCAATGCTAGCGATAGGGTACATGTTAATTTATTTGTTCAACAGATCTGAGTTCTAGTATGTGACAGCAATATTCTAGGCACTAAGGATGCAGCAGTGAACAAAACAGACAAGAATCTCTGCCCCTATGGAGCTTATATTCCAGGAGAGGGAGAGATAAACAATGAACATAAAATAAAATAAATAGCATGTCAGAGGGCAATGAATACTTTGGGGAAAAATAAAGTCTAACTGGGAGATGGGCAGTGCTAGAGGGAGGGATTATGATTTTAAGTAAGGCTTTATATAAAAAAATCAAGGCATAAGTGTGGGCATGAGAGGGGCTTTAATTAGTTATAAAAGCAGCTTTGCTGGGAAGTAAGTTTTGAAGAAAAGGTTTTTGAGGAAGGAAGTTTGAAGAGTTTAGAAAGTCTTCTTTTTCATTATTAATAAACTAAAACACACAGGGACAGCCAAAGAAACATAATATATCATCCAATTTAAATTATGTTTCCTCTTTCAAAGGTTATTTACCATGTTATCTTCTCTAAGTCTGTTACAGGCGTCTTTAAGTCTCATAATGAAGAGAAGAATGAGACAAGGCTAAAACTAAGTGAGGATTGTTTACATTGGTAAAAAGAAGGCTGATGTTTGATTTCACAAAGAATATGAGAATCTACTAGGCAAAGGGTGAGGGTGGTTTGTTCTTGTGATTCACTGAGCAAAACGAGGCAATAGATTTAATTGAATCTGGAAGATTTTAAGGTCGAATGATATAGAATTTATGCCAGGAAAAACCTTTCCCTGGAGACTTAGTAATAAGATATAAGGAAAGGCCAGTTTTCTAAAATACTTTGGACCACCAACCCCCGGATTAGAGAGAAATTAAAGGAGAAATGAAAGTAATCAAGCAGAAAGCAAAGCATTCAATAAATATTTTAAGAATAGCACGCACAAAATAAACATGCTATTTCTTTAAAGTTACTAATGCAGAAATAACTGCAAGAAGAATCACTGCCGAGATTTTAAGAGATGGGAAGGCCCAAGGAGATGGGGCACGCAGCCTCTAAAAAGTGATTGTAGGTTTTTTATCCAGTGAGTTAGGGGATTTGACCAAGAGATTCGTTCAGGATTCTTCCTGTTTTCTTAAGATGCCCAAGAAAACCAGGTTAACTTTCCCAGAGCTCCAAACACAAATCTCTGTTTTAGAGACTCAGAAGTGAAACCAAAGTTACCGAGAAGGTCTTTCAAAAAAGCGATGATTAAAACTCCAGCCACCCTGACCCAAATCCCAGTTTTATATCACGGAAATATGATCTAGAGGAGAAGAGCCATTTTGAAACGTGTGTTATCTCAGCAATACCTTGGCAGTTAATAATCTACCAGAGAGGAACTTTTACTAATGAATGCATTCACTTTTTTTAAATCACCATAACAAGTTCAGAAATTATGTGGAGAGCTTGTGATTTGGGGTTTCAACAAGATAATTAAAAACTGGGGCTACAGTGATAGGAGTCTGTACTTAATGTCATAAATGCATAAGAGACTAGAAATGCTATAATATGACTGTTGACTGTAGTGAGCCCTTTGCTGAGGCAGCTGAAATATCACCAGGCTGATTCATGTCCATGGATGTTTTTGAGCAGCAGCTATAAGCAGCCACTGTGCTAGACAGTAAGACCGTAAGGATTAGTGCGATGTTGCGTAGCCAGGAGAAGCCGTTTTAAGTTGGGCTATGTATCATTTTGCTTTTGTTGTCTTCCTTTTACTTTTTAAAAATGTGGTGTTTACACATATACAATGGAATATTATTCAGCCATAAAAAGAAACGAAATTGAGTTATTTGTAGTGAGGTGGATGGACCTAGAGTCTGCCATACAGAGTAAACTAAGTCAGAAAGAGAAAAGTAAGTACCATATGCTAACACATACATATGGAATCTAAAAAAAAAAAGGTTCTGAAGAACCTAGGGGCAGGACAGGAATAAAAATGCAGACGTAGAGAATGGACTTGAGGACACGGGGAGGGGGAAGTGTAAGCTGGGACAAAGTGAGAGAGTGGCATGGACATATATACACTACCAAATGTAAAATAGCTAGCTAGTGGGAAGTAGCTGCATAGCACAGGGAGATCAGCTTGTTGCTTTGTGACCACCTAGAGGGGTGGGATAGTGAGGGTGGGAGGGAGACGCAAGAGGGAGGAGACATGGGGATATATGTATATGTATAGCTGATTCACTTTGTTATAAAGCAGAAACTAAAACACCATTGTAAAGCAATTATACTCCAATAAAGATGTTAGAAAACAAAGTGGTGTTTAAACCAGTATTGTAATTTGTTTGCATTTTACTCTGTTTTTCCTTTTCTTGCATCTTTTCCTTCAGCTAAGAGTTGTGGAAACCAGATCTAATCTTCTAATCAGGATTGTTATATAGATTTTATTTTTGGTAGCATAAGATTATTGTTTTCATCTCCTAAATTTTGATTCCTTGTTCAGTATTTTTCTCTGGTTTGCCATCCCAAGTTATCCTATTTCATCCTTGTTAATTTTGATCATTCACACAGAACTCCATGTCTCCACTCATGTGGGAAAGTTTTATCCCCCTTCTCTACCCACCTAACTCCACCTACCTTCAAAATGTAGAACAGGGCTTCCCTGGTGGCGCAGTGGTTGAGAGTCCGCCTGCCGATGCAGGGGACACGGGTTCGTGCCCTGGTCCGGGAAGATCCCACATGCCGCGGAGCGGCTGGGCCCGTGAGCCATGGCCGCTGAGCCTGTGCGTCTGTAGCCTGTGCTCCGCAACGGGAGAGGCCACAACAGTGAGAGGCCCGCGTACCAAAAAAAAAAAAAAAAAAAAAAAAGTAGAACAAATCCTGGCTTACTTATGTTGCCTACCTTGGCTTCCTGGTTATTGTTTCTCGTGTCTGTATGTTAATTCCTCAACGAGGCAGGAAGCTCATGAGGGTAGGAACCAGACCTCTACTCATTCTCCAGAATGTCTAGCAAAATGTTTTGTACATGGTAAAGCTAGAGAGGGTAAAGTTAACATTTATTTAAGTGCCTAGCAATTACCAGGAATTGTTAAATCTGTATATATTCATATAGAAGATTCACTTCACATTGACTATTGATATATTAATAGAGTTTAATTCAGCACTATTCTGGCAGGCCATTTTCTAAATGCCAGCAGGAACAGTTGACTAGATTTGCATTTGGATTTTTAGATTTTTCTCCTTTGTATATATTATTGCCATGCTAGTTTGATGGAAGAGAATTTTTTAAAGTTCAAAATGAAAATATTTGATTCTTCTTCCTATCAGATCTCTTGGCATGAAACTGAGCAAAATAGTACTAGGTATTAAGAAACTAGATGTAATTATTTAAAACTGAGAAATTTCAGAGCAACATGGATGTGTATTTTGAGAATTGTTTTTCATAAGTTTTAAACTTTCATTAAGTTTCTCAAAAAAGTGAAGTTTTCCTCCTAGTGTTATCCTCACAGACAGCATATCATAAAACTCTGTAAGTTGAACGTATCTTTTGAGAATTTTCATCTAGAGAAGAGGCACATAAAGCTGTGACCAAGATGCTGAGGATGGTAGGGTCTTGTTTTTCAGGTGGTTGGCAACACGACCTCCGGAAGCTACAGTTACAGCATCCAGAAGAGTCTGGCTTTCGCGTATGTCCCTGTAGAGCTAAGTAAAGTGGGACAACAAGTGGAAGTTGAATTATTAGGCAAAAATTACTCAGCAACCGTCATACAAGAACCCTTGGTGTTGACGGAACCAATCAGAAACCAGCTTCAGAAAAAAGGTGGAAAGGACAAAATTTGAAAAGACTTTGAGAAGACAACTGAATTATGGTTGCTATGTGATTGTACTGAAAATGATAACTGATTTGCTGGGGAATAGGGGAAACCAAAAATTTATTTCAAAATCATCAGAATCTTAAAACCATTCTCTTGTTTCCTAAGCAATATAGAATAATGGATGAGTGATCTACATTGCTGTTTCAGATGAAGAAATTTGAAGCTAATGTTTTTACTATTCTATATTGTTGTTTACGAAACTCGGCAAAACGTTTAAGTGTTTGCTAACATACCATCATTATTACAACTGAAGTAGAAAACATATAATTTTAAAAACATTTGTATGTGGTTCTTGTTAGCTGAAAACAAATTATGTTTTGTTTTGTTTTTTTTACAAATTATGTTTTACATAAAGACAAAAGCAGTATTGTTGATGGATTTACTTCATTGAAAAATACTAGTTGAATAAGGGATCATTTTAATGTTTCATAATATATCTAGGAAGAAAATAGTAAAATTTAATATTGGTATATGTAACATTTTTATTCAATTCCTTGAAATATTTACTTTCTTAATGACTTCCCTGAAAGCAGTTTTATGGGCTGTCATTATTGTCCTTTCAAAGGTTGTTTTAGAAGAGAAATTGCAAAAGAGAACAGTCTTCCAAAGGAAACGGTACTTGTAAACCTTCTGAGGTGAAGCCGAAACATAAATTGTGCCAGTACAAACACAGTCTGAATACTGAACACCTCTCTTTGGGAAAGAATTAATGCAAGTTGACATCACGTTGTGCCGTTCTGAATATCATTTCACAAACATTTGACAAAGCAGGTCAAACAAGAGCTTTAAGAGCTGACAGGATTGCCCTTAACACTGTGTACAGCAAGAAAAAAAAGCCATTTAGAAATAATTCTTTGATGTACCTCTTGAAATTATTTGGGTTTAGTTGACAGAATAAATCAAATTTTTCATAAAAGGTAGTTTGTCATTTATCATTTGTTCTACACACACACTTGCTGCCTAGGAAAAGTTCAGTAAATAGGTATTAAAGAAGCTGAATGTGAAGCATAATAAGATTCTATAGTTAGAGTAGATTTTAAAATAATTTCTTAACTTGTAAGTTTTGAAAACATGCCAAATTTACATTTAAATGTTTTATAAAAGTAATCATGTATCAGAACTCTTCAGCATGCCATTCATTTATCTTTGGTATCTCCTCTTACATGAGAAATGAAGGAAATCTTTTTGATAACAAACATTTGCTAATTATTAAGAATGTTATCCAGACCCTCTCTCCCAGTTCTGGTATAGGGTATAGGTGCTTTTCATTCTCTGCCTCTCTGTAGCCCAATTGTTAATTGTGTAAAAACTAATGAAAGAATTGAGAAAATATAATGCTACATCAGTGGCACAATTTAATAGTTACCTAAGTTGTAACTTTTCAGTAACTAGTGACTGGAAAATTATTTACATAAAATGTTATTATAGCAGACTCTAATCAAAGGAACAGTACTCAGAACTTGTGGAGAAGGCAATTGACAATGCAAAAACAAAATCTAAAGAAATGGTCGTTTGTTTTAAAAAGTCAAATTTTAAAGAATGCCAGGAGAAACAACAAAAGATGCTGATCTTACATTGCTAGTATTTGAATGCCTTCATCTTTTTCACCAATAATTGGGCACTTGTTCTAAAGCAATAGATCAAATAACGTCAAAGTTTGTTACCATTCAGCCACTTTCTCTGATTTTTAGCAGATGAAGAAAAACTTCAGAAGTTTTTACTGTATGTAATAGAAATGTATGATGAATTTTCTGATGAAGATATTTTAGTGGAAACTTTTTAACTATAGACATGTTTGAAAGCCACTATAATTGTTCCCAAAGAACCAAAGGCAGTATTGCAATTCCTGGAGTTTGTTGTGAAAGATTTTTATGAATTTCTGCCAAACTTGTCATTATGTTAAAGTCCTTTCCTAGTTGTTTTTACATCTGTTGCTCAGGTAAAAGAAACTTTTGAAATTAAAAGCTTAAAAAATGTTCTTCTATCAACTTTGTGCAAAGATAACTGGATAAATCTGGCTATACTGTCTGGTAAATATTAGTATGCAAAGAAAAAATTCAGTGAAGTCACTGCAAAGCTTAAAAACAGAAAAGTTTTATTATTCACAGGCAACAGACCACTTTATTACAATAGACCGATTTGTGGGTATAAATATTTTCCTTTTTCAAAACTACTTAATATAATTTAAAAATATTAACCCCTTGCTTTTTCATACTATAACATTTATTTTATTTCTATTTTTCTTATTTATTACTGGAATGACTATATATTCAAAGTTAATAGAAACTTTTCACTCTTTGCATTTCTTTTCTGGTTGTTATTATTTCATTTTGTGATTATTACTAAAAATAATTGTGTCATGTAAAAGGGGCAGAGAATCGTTAAAAAATGGTCATCCAGGGTGGCTTCTTCGCTCACAAGTCTGGCACCTCACTAAGGTTGATGGCAACACCTGGGGCTGGCAGGGCACCTCTCTCCATGTGGCTTCACTGTGTGACTAACTTGCCAGGTAGTTCAGAGGAGGGAACTTAACATGGAGAACCAGCGAGGGATGCCAGCTGCCAAGCTGACACTAGGACCATACAGGGAGGGGCTGCTAGTGGGAGCAGGAACCATAGAAGAGATATATCCACACCGGTGAAGATGCTGCCCGAAGCAGACAGAAGGGAAGAAACACCCTGGCTTGTTTCTTCCTTCCACCTTCCAGTCTCTCACAGGTGCCTCCCACTGGATGAACCTAGCTGGGAGCCTGGGATATGTAGTTTGTAGGGTTTGGCCCACCTGTGACACAGAGCAGAGAAAAGAAAGATCATGAAATGGATCGCATCGCAAAAGACAATGACTGGCATACAACACCAGCGTTCTGTTCAGCCCTGGCCAAAGGGTCAAGAGGTGCAAACATGGCTACTAGCATGGAAGGAGGTCGTGGGATGGGCTAACACATTTAAAAGGGCTACTTACATTATAATTTTTAAAAAGCATGGTGTATGGACTTCCCTGATGGCGCAGTGATTAAGAATCCACCTGCCAATGCAGGGGACATGAGTTCGAGCCCTGGTCCGGGAAGATCCCACATGCCGTGGAGCAACTAAGCCCGTGCGCCACAACTACTGAGCCTGCGCTCTAGAGCCCGTGAGCCACAGCTACTGAGCCCACGTGCCACAACTACTGAAGCCTGCATGCCTAGAGCCCGTGCTCTGCAACAAGAGAAGCCACTGCAATGAGAAGCCTGTGCACCAGAATGAAGAGTAGCCCCCGCTCACCACAACTACAGAAAGCCCACACGCAGCAATGAAGACCCAACACAGCCAAAAAAATAATAATAATAATAAATAAATTTTTTTAAAAAAGCATGGTGTATTACAATACACAACGTGCTATCGTTTAGGTTCAAATTGGAAAAAATGTAAACATTTAAATTGCATTTATATATTATAGACTATCTCCGGAAGAGTAACACTAGTATTTCTGGGGAGGGGTTGAAATTTACTTTTCACTGTATGCCTTTTTAGATTTATTTAAATTATGTACATGTTTCACTTTTTAAAAGACCATATATAGTGCTTTCTTATCTAGTAAAAGTAGGTTCTTATTTTTTGGTCATATAATGTGACCCTCTATTTTTTAATACAGTATTCACATTGGTTTGAGATATTTAAGGATGGCTGGAAAGAGTTGGCTTAGAACCGCTTAAGAAATTGGTATACAATGTAAAAAAATTCAATACAGATAAAGTGAATGCAATTCAGTTGTTGTATATAATAAATATTGTGTGAATACTAAGGCTCAGGCTGGGTGAAAGCGGAGGGTAAGGAAAGAAGATACAAAACAAAATGCAATACCAACATCCTGTTTCTTGATCAGGATGGTGGTTACATGAGTCTGTTCACTTTGTGAGAATTCATTGACCTATGTACACTTCTGTGCACTGTCTTAAGCACACAGAAAATGCTATGTCAAAATCTTTTTTATACAAATGGTACTATTTTCCACTATCTACTCTCATCTAGTTGGTTTTGAGGAGGTATGAGGTGATAAGCAATGGGCAAGATGAGGGGGTCAGAGGAGTTTCGAGTCGGCCATAGCTGTTTTTAGCCAGACTCTCAATTTCAGAAATAGGGAGAATTTTCAGAGCTAAAAGAAATCTTTCTTCTTTTTTTAAACTGATCCTTTTCCTCTCAATACACACACGTACACTAACACACGAAACAAAACAAACAATAAACTGAAGATGCTTCTTAGAGAAAATTACCTTCCTATGTGCTTGGAGACTTGATGATTCTTAATGCCTTGGCAGTAGTTAGCACTGATAGCAGTTAATGCATATAACTGATGCATGTAACTACTGCCAACTTATACACTCATCTCTAAGTCCAGTATGTGACCTTACAAGCCTTTAAGAAGACTCTCACCCCCTCACTTAGATATGGTAGAAACAAACCCATCCCAGATCAATTTTCAAAACTAAATATATTTTGAAACTAATTTAATAGCTGACATCTAAAATAACAAAGTATGGCTATTCTTTCTGATATTCAAGTCTATCTCCTTCTGGACTACTCAAGGTAGTATGGGGCAATGAGTAACACCAACCACAATTAACCACATTTCGTTAGTAAACTTTAGTTTTTCTCTCTGAAGAAAGACCTCTTGCCATTCTTATCTCTACCCCAACGGTTAAACCTTTAGAGATAACATATTTAAAATGTTTAGCCTTTGTATACAAAGTTTATCATATTCAAAGGCACTGAAACCAACCAGGTTGAGACAAGCATTGAAACACAGGTATCATGACTTCTGAGCATAGCTTATAGCCAGTTAGCACCATGACAAGAACCTGAGTCTCTGCAAACCAGAGAAATAAAGAAGTACAACAAAAGCATCTATGATTTTCTCAGTGTATGGCCTTCGGGCTTTACAACCATGTTCACTGGGGGATATTTATTCTTAGCACTCTGTTCTAACTTAAAGTGCATTTTACTTTTTGTTTAAATGTAAATTATGTTATTACAAAATTGTTAATAATAATACTATTAGAAACAGATAATATATGCTCAGAGTTTAAAATTTAGGTGTAAGGGATATATTGTGAAAGTCAGTTTCTCTCCTATCCCTGTCTGCAGTCAATCAGCCTATCCAAAGACAACCAATGTTATAATTTCTTCTGTATCCTTCTTGAGATTCTCTGTAAGTATGTAAGCATTTCTCTCTCTCAGTATACGAATATATGTGTGTATATGTACATACATATGTATATATACACACATTTATGCATGTCATTTTAAGCAAATGAAAACATACCAAGCATAATGTTCTTTGCCTAACTTAAAAAAATTAACAGTATATCTTGAAGATTATTCCATATCATCCTTTTAAAACAATTATTTTGACCAGGCCCCACTATTTACCTTTTTCTAATAAATAAGGCCAAAATGAATATCTTGATGCATATGATGTTTCTGACACTGAGTACATCTGAAGGATAAGTTCCTACAACTGGAACTGCAGGATTAAAGTGTATGTGTGTTCTGGTAGATATGCAGAATTCTTCCCCGTAGAGGTTGTGCCACATTTCACTTGTGGTTAGTGTATGAGGGCTTACTTGACCCAAACAGTAAGTTCTCACGAGTGTCAGTGGTATGTTATTGAAGTTGCAACCTGTATTTCTCACTTGAGTGACGTTAACGGGTGTTTATATATATATATATATTTTTTTTTTTTTTTTTTTTTTGCGGTATGCGGGCCTCTCACCGTCATGGCCTCTCCCATTGCGGAGCACAGGCTCCGGACGTGCAGGCCCAGCAGCCATGGCTCATGGGCCCAGCTGCTCCACGGCATGTGGGATCCTCCCCGACCGGGGCACGAACCCGCGTCCCCTGCATCGGCAGGCGGACTCTCAACCACTGCGCCACCAGGGAAGCCCTGTGTTCATATATTTAATAACCACTTATATTTCCTTTTCTGTAAACAATTATGTTCCTATATTTTGCCTATTTAAAAGGGATTGTTGGTCTTTTTCTTACTGATTTTTAGGAGTTAAGAGATTTTTAACTGTAGGTTAAATGGGTTTTATGTGGGTTAGAATGCAAATCAGGTGTTTCTAATATCTTTTCTATGTAAAACATATATCCCAAGTTCCAAGCACCCCACCTACCAAATAATTAACTTTAATACCAACTTGTGAGTTGTGAGCTGCCTTTCTTTCAGTCCTAATTTTTGCATTTTCAAACTGATTGGAATGCTTTTTATTTTATTTTATTTTATGTGATTATATACTGGGAAAACCCTAAAAAAACTCAATGATTAAACTAAAACAATAAAATAATTATTTGGCAGAATGTAAATTACCATACAGAAATCAGTAGCCATCATGTCCACAAAAAATAACCAGTTAAAAGATAGAGAAAAAGGTAAAGAAAGCCCCATTTCAGTAGCAACAGAGAAGATAAAATACTTAGGAATAAATTTAACAAGAAAAGTACAGGGGGAAACCTTCAAGATGGCAGAGGAATAAGACGTGGAGATCGCCTTCCTCCCCACAAATACATCAGAAATACATCTACGTGTGGAACAACTCCTACAGAACACCTACTAAACACTGGCAGAAGACGTCAGACTTCCCAAAAGATATATGTTTTTTTCCATTTTCACTTTTTGTGAGTGTGTATGTGTATGCTTCTTTGTGTGATTTTGTCTGTATAGCTTTGCTTTTACCATTTGTCCTACGGTTCTGTCTGTCTGTTTTTGTTTTTGTTTTTAAATACAGTTCTTAGCACTTGTTTTCATTGGTGGATTTGTTTTTTGGTTTGGTTACTCTCTTCTTTCTTTCTTTTTTTATTACTTTTTAATTTTTTTATTTTTAATAATTAAAATTATTTTATTTTAATAACTTTATTTATTTTTATGTTCTTTCTTTCTTTCTCCCTTTTCTTCTGAGCCGTGTGGCTGACAGGGTCTTGGTGCTCTGGCCGGGTGTCAGGCCTATGCCTCTGAGGTGGGAGAGCTGAGTTCAGGACATTGATCCACTAGAAACCTCCCAGCTCCACGTAATATCAAATGGCGAAAGCTCTCCCAGAGATTTCCATCTCAACACTAAGACCGAGCTCCACTCAACAACCAGCAAGCTACAG